CGTCCTGATCATTGAGGTCTGTCGTGGCCCTTTGGAGCATCATGCTGAAAAAGACTGTGAATAGGGTTGGTGCAAGAACGCAGCCTTGTTTGACACCATTGGATATTAGAAAGGGCTCAGAAAGTGCATCACCATATCGGACTTGGCCGTGCTGATCCTCATGAAGTGAGATGATCATTTTAAGGAACTTGGGGGGACAACCTAAACGTTCCAAAATCTGCCATAGACCTTTTCTGGTCACAGTATTGAAAGCCTTGGTGAGGTCAACAAAGGTTACATAGAAACCTTTGTTCTGTTCCCTACACTTCTCTTGCAGTTGTCTGAGAACAAATACCATGTCTGTGGTACTCCTGTTGGCTCTGAAACCACATTGGCTTTCAGGTAGAATTCCTTCTGCTATAGCGGGTATTAGTCTGTTCAAAAGTATTCTTGCCAGGATTTTCCCAGCAATGGAGAGCAGAGTAATACCACGGTAATTTGAACAGTGTGATTTAGTACCTTTCTTCTTATACAAAGTGATGATGACTGCATCGCGAAGGTCTGATGGTAGTTTTCCTAGTTCCCAACAGCGCACCACAAACTCGTGAAATTTAGCATGGAGTGCAAGGCCCCCATGTTTCCAGACTTCGGGTGGAATTCCATCAACCCCAGCTGCCTTGCCAATTTTCACCTGCTGTATGGCCTTAAGAGTTTCTCCTAAAGTGGGGGCAGTATCCAATTCATACTTCACTGGTTGTTGTGTGATGGACTGAATAGCTGAGTCTTGGACTACACGGTTGGTACTGAAAAGAGTCTGAAAGTGTTCAGACCATCGATTCAGAATGGAGGTTTTATCTCTTAGAAGCATTTGACCATCTGCACTGAGTAGAGGGCTTTGGACCTGGTATGTGTGCCCGTATGCTGTTTTCTAGACCTCATAGAATCCTCTGTGATCATCTGCGCATAATTGAGTTTTTTCAGCTAGATTGATTCACCACTTGTTCTGTATGTCACGGAGTTTCTGTTGGAGCTTGCTGCATGCAAGACGAAAGGCTGTTTTTCTTAGGTGACAGGATGGCATTGCTAGGTGTGCTTGGTGAGCGGTTCTCTTCTTCCTCAACAATTCCTGGATCTCTTGCTTGTTTTCATCAAACCAGTCCTTCTTCTTGAAGGAGAACCCTAAGGATTCTTCAGAAGACTGCAGGATGCTGTTTTTAATATGGTGCCAAAGTGTTTCAGGAGAGGCATCTGTAGAATCTGTGGAATGGCTTTCTATCCTAGTTTGAGGATTTGCCTGGAATCTGTCTCTCACTGTGGCTGATTGGAGATGGTTAACTTGGAGTCTCCTCCTTGGGATACTGCCCCTTTTAGATTTGAATTTAAGATTGAAGTTAAGTTTACAGCACACCAGTCGATGGTCTGTTTGGCATTCTGCACTAGGCATCACGCAGGTGTGGTGGACATCGCGGACATCTCTCCGTCGCACCAAGACGTAATCGATGAGGTGTCAATGCTTAGATCTAGGATGCATCCAGGTTGTCTTCAGACTATTTTTCTGATGAAAGATTGTATTAGTGATGGTGAGCTGTTGCTCCGCACAGAATTCTAGCAGAAGGCGACCATTATCGTTGCAGTTTCCAACACCATGCTTTCCTAATATTCCTTTCCAGGCTTCAAAATTCTTTCCTACTCTGGCGTTGAAATCACCAAGGATAACGATCTTATCATCTGCAGGAACATTTTGGGTAAGGCGGCGCAGGTCTGTGTAAAATTTTTTTTTCAGCAGGGTCAACTTGGAGAGTTGGGGCATAAATACTAAAGAGGACAACATGTTGCTTGTTGTGTAATGGAAGGCGTAGGGAGATAATGCGATCAGAATGACCTGTCAGCAGATTTTCGAGTTTAGGAACAATAGAGATTTTAATCATGAAGCCAACTCCTGAGAGATGCCTTTCGGTTCTGGGTTTACCTGACCAAAAGAGTGTGTAACTGGTACCATGTTCTCTAAGGCTGCCTTCCTCGTGGAGGCAAACTTCACTGAGAGCAGCGATGTCCATGCTGAGACATGATAGTACATGGGCAATTAGGGCAGAGTGACACTCAGGACGTCCGCTATCTGCAGAATCAAGCATGGTTCTGATGTTCCAGCATGCGAGAGTCAATTTGGTTACACCTTTGGAGGCAGGTGTGTGCCTTTGTCTTTTGAAATTTGTGTGACTGCATTAGTAGAAGATGCCCGTTCACCCCTTAACCAACCGGGTGAAGGGGGAGATGAACTTTGGTTAGACCACCTTTTCTAGGCCCCTCTCTGAGTGGAGCAAGCAGTACTCTCCTTGAAAAGGCTGCTTGGTCATTCAGGGTGCTGCCCAAAGAGACTGTCATCTCCTGTCAGTCTCTAACGACCAATATCCTGAACTGCCTTCATGCAGGGTTGGGTCTGCGGCTTCCAATGCACCTTTCACCTGCCGTTTCGACCCTTGCCCATCACTACAGGGCTTTGCAAATGTGGGTAAGGCCTTCAAGCCTGCGCAATGGATTTTTTAGGTGAGACGCAGTGTGCGCGGAACTGAACCCACCCTTTAATCCTGAGGTTCGTCTGCCAGGGTCGAGCGAGCTTGGATGGTGACAGCAAGGTCCTCAGGACGTAGGTTTAATTAGAGTGACCTTCTCTTAGATGGATGACCTTACAGGGCTAAGCGAGCTCCATCTGCCCAGGTTTGGGATTAGAGTTGTCTTTCTCCTAGGATGACTGCCAGAAGGCTAACGAGCTCATCCTGCCCAAGGATATATTGTATCTGGCCCCAGGGTTTTGACCCGGCTGGCGTGGGCGATCCTACCGAAGGCATATACCATGGCCAGCATAGCTCGCAACCGCATGGGGGTACACAGGTTTCATTCCCATTAAAAACTCTTAGGGCAAGTCTTTCACTTCCTAATTTTCTGCCACCTATCTATATTCAATCCCAAGGAAATGCCCAGGAACAACCCCTTGTCTGGACCACTCTTTCGGATGTAACAAATATATCCAGAACATACCGAACCTGGGTAGTAGCCACAGGTGAGCCAAAAACAAACAAACAAACCGTTCCGGCCCCTGTACCCACCCAGGGCACGGGTACCTTTCAGGGCCCCAGCCCGACCAAGACCCCCAACACTCCAAAAGAACCTACTATCCACCCTGACCTTATCCTCCCCCACTGTGTTACCACATATTTTCAGGTGCACTGCTCACCTGTGACATTTCATGCAGGGTTACCCTGCCCGCCCTCCCGCAAGTCCGAGGACCCCTACGGCCCGTCCGACACCCTTCCCCTCCCCCAAACCAGAATGGCAAACCTCTGTGTGCTCCGAAGCTCCCCTCTCTTCTCCCACGAGGGCACAGTACCCGCTGGCGAGGCTCCCCCTCTCCTTTCTCCCGCCGCGGACGCCCCCAGGGGCCAGCCACGAATGCGCGGCTTCCGGAGTCCCCCAGGGCCACCCGCAGATGCGCAGCAGGCTTCCGGGGTCCCCCGGGGCCCAGGGATCTAATGTAGTGCTACTGATAAAAACTTAATTATAACAGGGTGTTTGCATAAACACGAGACACTTAGTAGATGTTTTCTATTGTTCTTTTCTTGGTTACACATTTATTTTAAGTTTCCCATCATTTATTTGGCATTCAGAATGGTGTCATTGCAGTTTGCTTAGAACAGTAATTTGCAGTACTAGTTGCACAAAATCAGTTGTACAGTTTGATCCAGAGCGTTAATAAAAAAAGTCCTAAATGTAACAGAAGGAAACAAATTACTAGAAAAGGTCAGTTAAAGAAAGTAAAAAGAAAAAAAATGTTTCTACTTTAAGAGTCTTTTCAAAAAGTTACAGCTGTAGCAAACAATTTCCTTAGCTGAAGGAGGCATAGCAAGAAAAAAAAAGGAAACTGTCTTTTGCTCTATAACAGTCTTCAGCATAATTCTGCCTTTGCTGTAACCTCTGTGGCTTGAAAAGCTGCTGTCAGAAGATTAGAAATCATATTGAAAATACCTCTCACCAACATTGCAAATAACAGATTATTAAAATGGAAAGAGAGTAAAGCAAATCTTGAACCTGCCAAGTGTGCCTCACACAATTCATGCTATCCATATGATTTTAAGCACTAAGTTTGTGGGGAAATTTAAGCAAATAAATCTTTGCAGATTCTGGCTTCATAGGGAAGTGGACCCATGGGTTTTCCTCGTTTGTTAACAACTTCAGAGATAATTTTACATTTGTCTTGTTTACAACAAAGAGCTTAATTGCTGTTGTTGAGCCTCAAGTTCTGTGAGGGATTATTTTTTAGGAAAAAAGAATTAACACCAGGAGGCTGAGTTGCACTATTCATCCATGGAAAGGGAATATTTGTACTCTCTACAACTACCTGAAAGGAGGTTGTAGCCAGGTGGGGGGTGGTCTCTTCTCCCAGGCAACTAGCAATAGGACAAGAGGACATAGTCTTAAGCTGTGCCAGGGGAGGGTAAAGTTTGGACATTCAGAAGAATTTCTTCACAGAAAGGGTTATCAGATATTGGAATGGGCTGCTTAGGGAGGTCGTGGAGTCACCATCCCTGCAGGTGTTTCAGAAAAGACTGGACATGGCACTTAGTGCCATGGTGTAGTTGACATGGTGGTGTTCGGTCATAGGTTGGACTCGATGATCTCAGAGGTCTTTTCCAACCTGGTTGATTCTGTGATTCTGTCATTCTGTGATTTTACTTGTGTTTTAAATTAAAAATTAGTAGAAAATGTTTCCTTAGCAATTTTGCATTTATAGAAATATTTCCATTTATTTTAGAGTGGGAAAACCAAACAAAACTTGTTTACAGTGCATGAATCTAAATGCAAATTTGGTTCAAATATAAGAAGACTTTATAAAGGTTTCTAACCCTTACAAGGATGTTGGTTAAGAAGAGTTGTCATTCACTGTACAAAATAAAGACCTGCAACCAGGGGTTATGAATGGACTGATAAACTATTTTTTTTTCTGTTTATTTTCTGTTACCTTACAGGTTTATGACAGACCACAAAAACATTCTGTTCTGCACTATGATCCAGGTCTCCAACAAGACTTCACCATTGACACCTTAAAATCAAAGCACCAGCAGAAAAGTAGCAACCAGCACCATCTTGACTGGTCAGTGAGCTCTGATACTGGATCCACTTCTCAAAGTTGCTTTGTCAACACAGAACCCAGTAGAGAAGCAGTTAGTGCCACCAAGGTCTCCACTCTGGAGCCAGGAGTTTCCTTCAGCAAATCCCAGGCAAAGAAGTCCTGCACCAGCAGCACATGGGGGCAGATGTCAGCCAGTAGTAAAGAGCTTGCCATTTGCAGTGCAGTCCCATGCCCCAACAGCATCAGCGTGGCCACCCAGCTGAGCAGCGCCTCTGAGTGCAATGGGCTTTTGCCTCTTGGTGACCACGAGGTAGGTGTGCAGCTGGAAGCCCCCAATCGACCCACCAGGAGTACAAAGAAGTCCAGCAAAAAGGACTTCATAAGTCAAACCATCCAAACCACAGACATTGAGTGGGTGAAGAGCGCTCAGAAAGCATTTGATAGGAAATCCCATTACAGCATGGAAGGAAAAAAGGAGCCTTACTCGATGGACAGTGTGTTGGATACATCACCCTTGAAGCAGAATTCCGCTTCTGCTAGCAGTTGTGAAAGTGATGCCAGTCACGTACAAATTACTCTCCCAATAAAGTCTCCAACAACACATACATCTGGCCACAAAAGGAAACAAAGGCACTCCACTAAATCTTTCATAGAGAAAACTATCCAGGTGAAAAGCCTTCCTTCTGGAGTTGCTATGAGCAGTGAAGTAGCAAACAGGACTAGTTCTCAGCCAGAAGGGAGTAAAAAAGATCTTCGAGCCACAAAGCCAGGAAAAGTGACTGAAAATGAGTCCCCCTTAGTAGCTATTGACAGTGGTGTGCTCACTGATAAAGCTTCCCCCAGCTGTGCCACCAGACTCAGAAAATCTGTATCTGTGACATCCACTCTCGTACCCACCGATCTTCCCACAACTGGCAAATTATCTGAGGTCCAGCACCCCAAACATGCAGTTGAGTGGCAATGGACCTGTAACAAACCTAAATCTATCCTTCGGGACACCTCCACGACAACATCTGATAAGCTGATGGTGGAGCCTCCTTCAGCCTATCCCATCACACGATCCAGCCCTCTTTATACCAATACAGACAGTCTTACTGTGATCACACCTCTCAAGAAAAAAAGAGGGCGACCAAAGAAACAGCCTTTGCTCACTGTTGAAACCATTCATGAGGGAACCTCCACCAGCCCAGTGAGTCCAATCAATCACAAATTTGCAGGAACAAAGAAAAGGAAAAGGAGAAGGAATCTAACTAAGTTGACCCAGATGGTTCCAGGAGAGGACAAGTCCATCAGTGAACTCAAGTTTCACAAAAAGGTCAGGAAGCTTGGGGTCTTGGATAAGAAGACCATCAAGACCATTAATAAAATGAAGACCCTCAAGAGGAAGAATATTCTCAGTCAGATCTTGTCATCCTGCTCCAGCAGCATAGCTCTGAAAGAAAAAGTCCAGACACTGTCTAGTGCTGGGCCAACCACCATTGATGCCAGACTAGGGAAGCAGATCAATGTCAGCAAGAGGGGGACTATCTACATTGGTAAAAAACGGGGCAGAAAGCCAAGAGCAGAGCTTCAGACTCAGCCAGAAGAACCTAAGACAGCCATCAAGCACTCAAAGCCTGTTTCCAGCCAGCCAGAAAACCCAGCAGTGCCTTCCAACCTTCAGTCACTTGCAGCTATTCATCCACTTTCGACAGAGTTATTGGGGACTAACAGCAACCTTAGCCCTGCAAGCACTGAAACAAATTTTTCAGAGTTAAAAACTATGCCAAATCTTCAACCTATCAGTGCTCTTCCTACAAAAACCCAGAAGGGAATGCACAGTGGAACTTGGAAACTCTCTCCACCCAGGCTAACAGTTAATTCACCTTCTCACCTTTGTGAAATAGGTTCTCTAAAAGAAGTCACGCTGTCACCAGTGAGTGAGTCTCACAGTGAGGAAACCATACCAAGCGACAGTGGGATAGGTACAGACAACAACAGCACTTCTGACCAAGCTGAGAAAAGCTCAGAATCCCACCAGAGATACTCCTTTGATTTCTGCACTCTGGACAATCCGGAGGCTATGCCATCTGACACCAGCACAAAGAATAGGCATGGTCACCAGCAGAAACATCTCATTGTGGATAGCTTTCTCTCTCATGAGAGTATTAAAAAGCCAAAGCACAAGAGGAAAAGGAAAAGCCTACAGAACAGAGATGACATCCAGTTTCTGACAGACCTTGAGGAACTCATCAATAAATTTCAAGTATTCAGGATTTCCCATAGAAATTATACATTTTATCATGAAAATCCATATCCCAGCATCTTCAGGATTAATTTTGATCACTACTACACTGTGCCATATGTCCAGTATGACCCATTGCTCTATCTTCGCAGGACCTCTGACATGAAGCCTAAGAAGAAGCGTGGTAGACCTGCCAAAACCAATGACACCATGACAAAGGTGCCTTTTTTACAAGGGTTCAGTTACCCTATTCCCAGTGGGAGTTACTATGCACCCTATGGAATGCCTTACACATCAATGCCTATGATGAATCTTGGTTACTATGGTCAGTATCCAACTCCTCTGTACCTGTCTCACACTCTCGGAGCAGCTTCTCCATTTATGAGGCCTACCTTGCCCCCACCCCAGTTCCATGCAAGCTCTCATATGAAGATATCCACCACTGCCAAACATAAAGCAAAACACGGAGTGTGCCTACAAACACCTGTGGGAATGGGCCTTGGAGACATGCAGTCCTCTTTGGCTCCTCCAAAAGTTGGAGGAACAAGCCTTTTAAGTGGTCGACTTCACAAAAAGAAACACAAGCATAAGCACAAGCATAAGGATGAGCAAATATTGGGGACATATGATCTGAGTGGTCTGTTTGCTAGCAAGTCCACTGGCTTCTCCAGCCACACAATCAATGACAGGCTAAGCAGCTCAGATAAAGACCTCCCCTTGCTCAATGATAAAAGAAAACATAAGGAGAAGCAGAAGTATCAGCATTGTGAAACCAGACACAAAGGCTCAAAGAGTAACTCTGAAGTGGATACACTGTCTACGTTATTACTTTCTGATGCCCAGCAGTGGACACAGAGTAAAGATAAAAGTGACTCAAGCAATGATCCCATTGACTCTTGCACAAAGAGATACTCTGGTAATACTGAGAGTAATGGAAGGTCAGAGTCCCTGGACATGTTTGGTGAAATGAATTCCTCAAGTGAGAAGAGGGACAATGATGCAAGTGGGAATAAAAGAAGCTTTGAAGGGTTTGGAACTTACAAGGAAAAGGACATTCAGCCCTTCGGGACAAATAGGAAGAACAGAAGTACTTATGATTCTTCAACCTCTTCAGGTAAGCTCTGCTTTATTCTATATTACCTTACTGCATTTAAATGTCAATGCTGAACAAAGAGGGACTTGTCATTTACACCAAATATGTTTATGAGTCAATAACTTCTCTGGTTTTTTGAATTGACTGCCAGTCTGCATCCAGACTCTGGGGAGATCAACAAGTTGGCCATGCCTTAAGCCAAAACCTTTAAAAGTCTTTGAGTTGTTGCACATTTTTTGAATATTTGTCCTGCCTTCATCTATCTCTCATAGCTTGTTGTGCTTCCTCCAAAAATCTCACTATTGCATTCTGCAACAGCATCAACTATAATACCTTATTGGCATCTAATCTCATGAGGTGGTAGTTGTTGCCCAGCCTTTGGGAGAACAGCCGCAGTACAGAGTAAAGAGTCTCTGCTCTGGACCACAAAGCATACAAAAGCCATTTGTTGATGGGAAGGACCAGATGCATGGGAAGTTGTGGAGCTGAGTCTGTGTCCCATGACTGGTGTAGTATGCTGCTGATCCAGAGGGATCCATGACAGTGATGGCTGGGCTGAATATATGGAGATCCTGGGTACAATACCAGTGTAAATCTGTCACTTCCAGTTGGCAGGTGTCATGTAAAGTAATTATCCTGAGCACTGAGTGGCTGTGGGAAGGGACTGGTGTCATGGAAGCAATAGACCTTCACCAATTGACTCTGAAGAGTTTTAGGTCTCATGACTTGGAAATATAAGCTGGGTAGATGAAGAGGGAGGAAGCTCCTTTCAGCTGCTAAGGACGTCTGTTCCTGTCCCGCAGAGGGGCAAAAAAAGGAATCTGAATCTTGTCTGAGAGACTAAATTGTACTTTGCAATAGGGAGCTGATTTTCTGATGACACAGAGGCAGGTGTTTTGCTGCAATATAAATGAATTTAGCTTGGGAGCAAGCCCAGAGCTCCTGCACCATCAGGTATTTATCACAAAGCAGATTTCACACTAGGTTCTGGAAAAGGGTGAGTGTCACTATTATGTTGAGACGGTCAAAGAGACATAGAATTTTCTTCCAAAGCAGGGACAGGATAGCAAGAAGGCTGGAAGATTTTTATTGCAACAGGTTGCAGACATTTATACTTTTCACACAACACACATGTCAACTTACTATTGGTGCCTTCATATAAACATACATCAGGTCATACACACGTCAACTTACTATTGGTGCCTTCATATAAACATACATCAAGCCATACACATGTCAACCTACTATTGGTACTTTCATGTACACATATATCAGGCCATACACATCAATCTACAATTGGTGTCTTCATGTATAAATACATCAGGATTGGCTGCAAAATAGCAAACTCATGCTGACACAGCTTTTGTCAAGCCATCATGACCCAGTTAGAGCAGAGTACAGGAAGTCCGTTTCTGTCTTCCATCTTCTTCCTTTCTGAAGGTTGCCCACATTCCTCTGCATGCTGTGTGTTCTCCTCCTTTCAGGGTTATACTGTAATCTGGTTTATGTCTATTGCTTCGTCGATAAGTGCCAGGCTGCTGACAGACTTGCTGTCGCCCCCGACAGGTGAGCTTTATTGAACCAAACAGTGGTGGATGACATTCTGATGTGCTAAAAAAGAGCTCCAAAAACCCCATAATTCGTAGTCTCCAAAATGAAAAGTGAAACAGCTGAGAACACAGAGGGAGCAGAGAATTTGTATAAACTGCCAAAGTAATGCTCTAAAGTTTCTTATTGACTTGTAACTGAGTTCAAAAGACTGCTCGTGCTTAAGCCACCAAGACATTTCCATTTCCTTCACTGAGACCAGTATCTGGACCATAGCAATGAAAAACAGTCTAAAATGAGAGCTTACCCCATTAAACATTCCCAGTCATGATACCATATTATATCAGACCAATTGTGACACCCAAAAATGAGAGACCAAAAAATATTGGAAAAGAGACTGAATTCAGTCACTGGTTATATCAGGGTTACTACATGCCTGACAAATAACAAAATTATTCTCCACCAAGTGCTGCAGTGGCTATTGCATTAAGGAAGTTGTGTCCTAGAAGGCTTTTAGTGGAAGTTTATGATTTCACAGTTTGATTACAGTTGGATTTGTAGCCTTTTTGCTTTTTGAACAAATGTTTGCTAAACCTGTACTTTCCAACTTAATATATTTCACTGAGATGTAGCAAATTGTCAAAATTCTCAACACTGTTGAATGCAAATGAGTTTCCAAAGTAGAAGCATGATCCCCACCAGGCTGATGTAGAAATATAATTAGTAAAAAAAGGCCATTTCATGTTATTTTCCTTCACTTTATTGTCCATGCTGATAAAAACATGTCAGAGTGGTAGAACTTGCAGTAGGAGCTCTGTCAGATTTGCTGTTTAAACTTTTAAAACTTTTTTAATACTTTTTAAACCACGACACTGTTTAAGATCTCAGCGCAGCTTTTTATCCTCTCTGCCTTTGATCTTCACTGGGATTCCCAACATAGGTCCACACTCGAGTCTAACCATAACTCAGTTCTCACTGAGGGGGAATTAAACTTTTCCATGATAATCTTGACCTTCTTTCTCCTAATTCACCTTGCATTTTGCTGAGGTGGCTAAATGATGATTGACTAATTAGAAAATAAAATGTAAAAGAAAAAAAACCCTATAAGATCATATAGCTCTGTCCCAGGAAACAACTTCCATAGCCCGATTGCTCTTTTCATTTGATATTTGTCATCTTCCACAATACAAAAATAATATATAACAGAGATAAGAGGAGACATCCTGAATATTCAGATGAAAGCTGAAAATAGATTTATATCAAAATTTCTGTGTTATCATTGCTGTGTAGGCATTTTGGTATGCTCAGTAATGCTGTTTGCAACTTCATTGTTGCTGGAGATGAAATATGGAGTAACCACCTACACTCAGTAGAGATATCTGTGATATGAGGGATGAGACAACCATTTAGTGTTCTTTGGTGTTCAGGCATTGCAGTTTGTTTCAGTATAGTGTGCTGGTGCAGGTGCCATTGTATTGTTGCTATTTTTATGTTTTTATTTGTGTTGTAACAGCACTTAGCCATTTTTTAAAAGTTTGGTATTCCCTGGTGCATCATAGTGGTCGTGCATGTGGTAGAAAATAGTCCTGCCATATAACCTCAAAGTCTATGTATGATTTTACAATCCAGAAAAATCAAGATGTCATGGGAAGAGTTTTCCCTCTTACTTTCTGGAGGAGCTGGTTGCAGTCTTGGCACAAGAAATCTGTACCAAGAGTTAAGTGTCCCATTGAGGGAGTGCTACCAACTACCTTGGTTGGCCACAGCAAAAGTCCATTCCCTGCACTGCACCAGGTTGGACTGTCACTAGCCATGCATTAGTGAGTTTTGTGAGCTTTGGCTTATTTTACATCTCTTAGGACCTCTTGGGGTTAAATGTGCAATGTTAATACATAAGGTTATTTCCTAGCACTGCGTCATGCGTGGGTACATATGCAAGTCACACATATGAAATACACAAATGTACGTGTATTTTTTTATTGTCCAACATCTTTATCTTAAAAGTGCCCTTGTTCTGTTAAAAGCCTTACATTGGGTGATTAGACCTTCCAAAGGGAGAGTTGGAGGAATACTGAAGGGAGGAGAAGTGACAATCAAAGGAATGAACAGCATTCATCTGATGTCAGTACAAACATATAAATAGCCATGCTCTGCTAAGGTGTGTAATTTATCCAGATGAGATTTCTTCCTTGACAGAACTCCCCTCTATGTCTCAGTTTCCTTCTGGAATGGGCCATTGCCACACAGCACTAAATAAATCTCTGGTTCATTTGCTCTCAGAAGCCAAATGCATTATGCAATTTAAAACAGGACTTGCTATAAGCAAAACCAAATAGGGTGAAATATTAGCAAAGTCACCATGAGTTTTGTTTTGGTTTGAGGGGGGTGTTGTTTGGGATTTCTTTTAAGAAACAGCATATGCAGTTCTGGACTAATATCATGAAGCTTTAATCACCCACAGTTTTAGAATCATAGAATCATAGAATGAGTTGGGTTGGAAGGGACCTTAAAGATCATCTTGTTCCAACCCCTCTGCCATGGTCAGGGACACTTTCCACTTTAGCCTGGTTCACTCTCTACAACTACTGAAAGGGGGTTTTAGCCAGGTAGGGGGCAGTCTCTTCTCCCAGGCAACTAGCAATAGGACAAGAAGACATAGTCTTAAGCTGCACCAGGGAAGGTTTAGGTTGGACATCAGGAAGAAGTTCTTTACAGAAAGAGTGATTGGGCATGGGAATGGGCTGCCCAGGGAGGTGGTGGAGTCACCGTCCCTGGAGGTGTTTAAGAAAAGACTGGATGTGGCGCTTAGTGCCATGGTCTAGTTGACAAGGTGGTGTTACATCATAGGTTGGACTAGATGATCTCAGAGGTCTTTTCCAACCTAGATGATTCTATGATTCTGTTGACCATGTTGCTCAGAGTCCCATTCAGCCTGGTCTTGAACACTTCCAGGGATGGAGAGACCATAACCTCTCTGGGTAGCCTGTTCCAGTGCCTCACCACCCTTATAGTAAAGAACTTCTTCCTAATATCAAATCTAAACCTGCCCTCCTTCAGCTTATGGCCATTCCTCTATGTCCTATCACTACATGCCCTTTTGAAAAGTCCCTCTCCAGCCTTCTTCTAAACCCCCTTTAGGTACTGGAAGGCCCTCCAAGGTCTCCCTGAAGCCTTCTCTTCTCCAGGCTGACCAGCCTCAACTCTCTCAGCCTGTCTTCATAGGAGAGGTGTTCCAGCCCTGTGATCAACTTAGTGGCCTCCTCTGGACTCGTTCCAACAGGTCAATGTTTTTCTTGTGTTGGGAACCCCGGAGCTGGATGCAGTACTCCAGGTGAGGGGTCACGAGAGCAGAGTAGAGGGGGAGAATCACCTCCCTCAACCTGCTGGCCACATGTCTTTTGATGCAGCCCAGGACACAGTTGGCCTTCTGGGCTGCAAGCACCCATTGCCAAGTCATGCTGAGCTCCTCATCC